GTTATCAGACCATGTGAGCGACAAACCACACGCACACTCACGTGCACACGCATGCACACACACGTCCCTTAGGGTACGTGGTTAGGTCAGCGCTGAGGTTAGCATTTGTAGAGGGTGAAATGGGAAAGAGCATGAATTCCATCATGAACCTCAGATGAGCTGTTTTACTTTGGGTCCAAAGCCTTAGATTTTAGGGCACCAGCTCAAGTTCAAAGTGACCTATAATTTCATTTTCAGGTCTACACCCAAAACACTGGCAAGCAGGGACTCCAGCAGGTGCCCGTAACCAGTGTCCCCCACAGCGCTGTTCACAACAGCCGGAAGGTGGGAACAGGCCAAGTGGCCGACAACAGGTGACAGACAAGCTGTGGTCCCTCCGTACAGTGTAGTATTACTCAGCCATAAAGAGAGGTGAAGTTCTGACACATACTGTGACACAGATGAACCTTAACACGCGATGCTGAGAGAGAAAGGAACCACTGTGTTATTCGATTATGTGAAATGCCAGATCAGGCAAGCGCAGGAGACAGGAGTCTATCCGTGGTTGCCAGGAGCTGGGGGGAGGCGGCGGACTCGAGGCAGGGGTGCTGAGGATTTGTTTGGGGTGATGAAGCCATTTGGAAACACAGAAGTGATGGCGCAGCACACGGTGAGCTGGCCACTGAGATGCGGTTGCCACGGCAGCAGTTCGTTCTATGTACTGAACCACAGTGAAGTATTTTAATGAAGACTAGTCTTTGTCAGAGCTCCGAGCCTCTCCGGTTTTCCAGTCTCGTCAATTCCTGAAAAGTCTACTAACAACAGTGCAATCTCCTCCACTTTTTTTCCTTAGCTTGTAGGACCCACCTGTGGTGGCCCCACAGTTTGGAGGGGCAGGGGTCACCATCAGGGACTTGGTACTGAGCAGCTGCCACCCTGCCTGACCCCATGGACCCTCCAATTAGTAGGTGGGTGTGGGCTCCCCAACCCCTCAGGGCTGGGCCAGGTCCCAGGCCCTGCTGTCCCTCAGGGGCCACCTACAGGTGATGGCGGTTTCCTGGAAGGCTCCCCACCCCTGAGGCTGCACATGGCCTTCCCTTTAGGCCTGGTCTCTACAATGATGTCACACACACCAGTCACTTACCGGATGGTGTTGGATGCTTCACGCCCGTCTGCCCAGATGGCTCCCATGCACACAGCAGAGAGGAAAAGACGGAGGAAGTGCTTGGGTCTGAGCTCCAAGGCCTCTTCCCCACCCACACCTGCTCTCAGGGCAGGGCTGTACACCCCCCAGCTGGGAGCCACAACACTGCTGCCTGTTAACACCAAGGCCCCGGGAGGCGGGTACTGTGGGCATCACGGTTACAGAAGGTAAGCTGAGGCCCAGTGAGGCGAGGTTCAGACCCAGTCACAGATCCAGAGTCCAGGCAGGGCGACGCCGGAGCCAGCCCTGCTTCCGGCCTGCACGGGGACCCCTTGCCGGAACCCCTCCCACAGGCAGGACTGATTGGTGTGGTCACTGAGGTGGGTGGCTGCAATCCTTTCTGAACCTCAGGGTCTTCTTTGGAAGCCGGGCCAAGGAGAGGCACGTGGCCCGGGGGCCCCTGTCTTCATCACCAGTATAGAGAGCGGAAGGGGCTGGGAAAACAACATCTGCTACGTGTCCTTTGTCATCCGTTCGCCCACCCTCCTGTCACTCAGCTGGGTGCCCCGCTGGCCCCCCACTGGCTCCTCGGCACCCACTGTCGGACTGGCGTGGGCTCAGCTCCACAGACTCCCACAGACAAGGGCCAGCCCGACCTGCTGCTCTACCTCACTGGCCCCGCAGCGGTCCACCTGGCCTGGCAACGCAAGCCCCTCTCTCTGCTTCCTTCTCTGCCTCACACCCTTACAGAGTCAGGCTGAAGAAGGAAGTGTGACAAGAACTGTGAGTGTGAATGTGGCTGTGTGCATGAGTGGTGAGCACGTGTGTACGGGTGAGTGTGTGGTGGGGGTGAGTGTGGGTGAGTGTGGTATACAGAAGGGGGGTGGGGTGAGTGGACGGTGGGGGTGACAATGGGGTGAGGTGAGTATAGGATGAGTGTGTGGTGGGGGTGAGTGTGGGGTGAGTGTGGTATACAGAAGGGGGCATGTGGTAAGTGGGTGGTGGGGGTGACTGTGGGGTGAGGTGACTGTGGGGTGAGTGTGTGGTGGGGGGGTGAGTGTGGGTGAGTGTGGTATACAGAAGGGGGTGTGGGGTGAGTGGACGGTGGGGGTGACTATGGGGTGAGGTGAGTATAGGGTGAGTGTGTGGTGGGGGTGAGTGTGGGTGACTGTGGGGTGAGTGTGCGGTGGGGGGTGAGTCTGGAGTGAGTTGTGATGTGGGGGATGAGTGTGTGGGTGTGTGAGTGTGGGGGCTGGGGTGAATATGTGAAGATTGGGGTGTGTGAATGTGGTGTGTAGGTGTGAATGTGGGGGTAAATGTGGGAGAGGAAGGTGACGTGTGGCTCTCTGGGCTTGGCTGCTCAGTGGTGGCTGGTTCCTGGGGCCCCTCCCCCCATGGTGAGAGGACCCTTGACAGTAGACAGAGATTACGGGCCAACAGCACTCCATGATGGAAACCCTGGGAGGGAACCCAGGGCTCAGTAGAAGGCAAGTCAGTCCCATGCGGAGACCAGTGTGCTCACCCAGTATAGACGGGACTCCAAGGGCAGGGAGTGTGGATTCTACCCTGAGAGAGGTGTACTCACCCAGTGTAGACAGGACCCTGAGGGCAGGGAGGGTGGGTCCTACCCTGACAGTGCAGTGTGCTCACCCAGTGTAGACAGGACCCTGAGGGCAGGGAGGGTGGGTCCTGCCCTGAGAGAGGTGTGTTCACCCAGTGTAGTTCCTTACCGAGATCACCCAATGTAGACAGGACCCCAAGGACGGGAAGGTCAGGTTCCTTACTGAGATCCCATAGCCGGGACCCAAGGACAGGAAGGGCAGTTTCCTTACTGAGATCCCATACCCCCTCGAGACTGTCTTAGGTCTCTCATGATGCTCTAACAGAAACACCTCGAGTGGCTGGCCTTCATCAACAGAACTGGATTCGCTCCCAGCTGGGCTCCAAGTCGGCATTGATGGCACTGACTCCAGGCCTTTCTCTGTCAGCTCAGTTCAGGAAGAAGGTCTTGTCCCCTTCAGCATCTGCGGGTCTGGCGTTCCTTGGGTCTCCTTGAGTCTTGATCTTCCCCTGGGTCTAGTCACAGGGACTCTGGGTCCTGGCTCCTGGCTTTTCTTTCTTGATGGTAGTCAGGTCCCTCCTCTGCTCACTTCCCGCTCCTATCTCTTGTAAGATAAAAGGTGATGCGGGGAAACTCCCTTTGCACGGGCTGTGACTTAAGGGTGTTGCATCACCCTAATCCCCCTACAGCTGATTGGCTGATCACATCATGGAGGAAGATGATATCATTACACAGTTGCCAAACCACTGAGATCCAAGGCCCAGCCAAGCTGACACACGTTTTGAGGGATGCAACATAACCCATGGCAGAAGCCTCCCCTCACTCTCACCTCAGGTACAGTCTGTACTGTCCAGTGCATCTCGCGCCCATGGGTGGTATGGACCTTCCTGCAGTCTCTGGTCTCACCAAATGTGACCCAGGAGCCGGGCCAATGCTGAACTTGGTGTCAGTGTCCAAGTTCTGAGCCTCTGTGTGTCCACCCCACCCTCCCTCCTTCCATGCCCTGCACCTGCTTCCAGGAGCACCCCACATCCACCATCACTCCACCCCTACACTAGGAGAAACCAGGTCAGGCCTGGACTACAGAAACAGAGAGACAAGGAGAACTTTTGGCTGAGCCGTCCAAATGTGTGTCCCCTTTCCCACAGGGCCAGGCCCACCACCCCTCTCAGTTCACCCCCAAGATCACCAAACTCTCAGTCCCAGATCTCTAGCCAATTTCTGATCTCCACACCCACTGCTCCTGGCCTGAGGATGGAACAACAGGGTGGTCCACTGCCAGGCCCCACCTCATCGGGCCACCCCCCTACTGACATTCCCCAGCCAAGCACCCTGCTCTTACCACTGGGAGACTTCCTCCTTCAGAACGGAAATCAGAGTGTGGCCATAGGCTCATCAGACGGTCTCCCTTCCAGAATTCGATGGCATTCCTTAACCCACACACTGTGTTGTAGGAACTGAGGGGTGAGGTCTGTGCGGTATTCTGCAAAATTGTCAGGTGGGTCTCCACCACCTCCCTGGCTCCCTCTCCCCTCTGGGTGGGCTCCCCAGGTGACACAACACTTAGAGTGGCCATGGGTGGACAGTATTCAGGCAAACAGCAGCTGGCAGGAGAGACAGGCTGACCCTGGCATCTCGGCTGGGGCTTTCATCTTCCCCAAGCCGAAGGGCAGCAGAGCAGGCAAGTGACACCTTCCAGAATATCATCACTCTCCACCATATTCTTGACACATTTGACAACAGCAGGCCGGGAAGGCCCGGGTCGGCCTGATCCCAGGGAGTACTCACACAGGCCAAGCCTCTCAGTCATTGGTGGGAAGTATGTGTGTGAGGGGTGGTCCAGCAGGGTCCAGAGAAATGATGAACGGAGGGGAAAGGACAAAGAAATACCCACCGTGCCCTACCCCCAGGCCCCAGCCATCTCTGGGGTAGTCCTTCCACCCCCAGCCCCCAGCCACTTGGGGTGGTCCTTTCACACCCAGCCCCCAGCCATCTCTGGGATGGTCCTTGCAGCTCAAACTCAAGAGGGCCACATGGGCTCTTTGTTCACTGAATTTTATTGGAGTGTGACACATATACAGAGAAGCCTCTGGGGCATGTGTACAGCCCCGTAGACACTCATACAATGAACACTCACAAAAGCACTGCTCAGATTAGGAGAGAAGGCACAGAGTCACGGGATGGGGCTGGGGCAGCCTGGCACTCAGTGAGGGCGGGGGCCCTGGGGGCTGCTAGAAGGTCACCACAGGCTGGCTTTCATGTTTGCGTGGACCAGCTCACAAGAAAGGGGCAGTGGAGAGGCCAAGGGGACACACGTCACGCTTGCTGCTGGAAGATGCTGGGGCTCAGCTTGTACATGCACATCAGCCAGAGGACACAGATGGTCATTGAGACCCAGATCCAGACGTCTTCATAAGGTTCACCATGAGACCCATGCCTGGGGTTGGCCAAGCAGAAGTCTTCATCCCTCCGGGACCCACAGCTGGATTTGCTGAACCGGGACCTCAAGCGCTTCTTCTTGGAGTAGCCACAGGGCAGGATGCCATTGCTCTGGAGACCACTGGCACTGGAGCTGGAGCTGAGGCCCTTGTGTCTAATGATATTGAAGACTGAAAAGGGGATGGTGATGGAGCCCTCACTGAAGGTGATGGGACCTTCGGTGCTGGTCTTCAGAAGGGAGTCGTGACCAGTGGTGGCTAGGGCATTGCCTCCATCTTCCTTCTCTTTGCCTTCCATGGTATCAGCAGAAGAGTTCTTATCTTGGACATCGTCAGTAGAGAAATAGGTGACAGTCTCCTCACTGGTGATGGGGCCACAAGCACTGGATTCTGGACAGGGGTCATGACTGGTGGTGAGAAGGCCATTGCTGACATTATCCTTGCCTTTATCTTTGGTGGTGTCAGTGGAAGAGTTGTTGTCTTTGATGTCATCAGAGGAGGTGATGGCACGCTCATCGCTGGTGATGTGGCCCCCAGCGTTGGTCTCTGGAAGGGGGTCATCACCAGGAGTGGCAGGACCGTTGCCTCCATTTTCCTTCCCTTTGTCTTTGGTGATGTCAATGCAAGAGTCCTGGTTTTTGGCGCCATTAGCAAAGATGAAGGGGAAGGTGATGGCACCCTCATCATTAGTGGTAGAGCCATTGACACTGGTCCCCAGAAGGGCATCATGACCAGTGGTGGCAGGGCCATTACTGCAACCTTCCTCACCTTTGCCTTCAGTGGTATCAGGGAAGGAGTCCTTGCCTTCAATGATGTTGATGAACGACAAGGGGAAGGTGATGGAGCCCTCACCATTGGCCATGAGGCCAACAATATAAGACACTAGCACTGAGCTCTCTCCATTGGTAGTGGCGCCATCACTGTTGGAGACAAGGCCCTGTACTTTGGCGACGTTGACTGGGTCAGATAGAGATCCTTTGCCTTGGAAGATAAAGCCCTTGAGCTCATAGCCATTGTTCTCCATGCTGCTGGTTAAGAGGCCTTTGCCGTGGAAGATCGGGGCTTTGATGTTCACCGGGATGCCCTTGCCTTCAGGCATGGCCATGGAATTGGCAGAAAGAAAAAGGGAGCCCTTGCCGATGGTGACCGGAGCTCTGGTGTCAGTGGCTGGCACAGAGCCATCTTCAGTGGGGACACAGCTGCTGCCATTGGCAACAGGACCCTCGTCCTTGCTCCCATCCGCAAAGGAGAAAGGGATGGTGATGACACCTTCACCCCTGCTAAAGAAGTGGCTGCTCTCCGTGAGCGGGTTCCTGATGAATCCAGACACAGAAAGTGGGACGGTGAAGCCGCCCTGGTGCATGTTGTAGAGGTCACTGCCCCTGGACCTCTTGACCATGGGCCTGCTGTCGAAGGCCAGCAGCTGTGTTCTGCGCAGGACACTGCCCTCACCGCTGGAGGCACTGATGGTGAGGCCCATGCCGCTGTACGTGCTGCAGCTGCCCCAGATGGCTCTTGGAGCAGGTGTGAAGCCTGGCACCTTCTGCAGGAAGCAGACGCCCAAGCTGCAGGCCTCGCAGGACCTCAGGCTGTCGCTGGGAGCCTTGCAGTAGAAGCCTGGACACTGGTCAGGGCCGGGGTTCTCACCATAGCACCTGCGTAGGACATGTAGGGCCAGCTTGCTGAGGAAGGGGTATGTGCTTGGGGCACTCACCTGGCAGTCCCCAGAGGCACCTGGAGGGCACAGCTTGCACCTTGGGCCCCAGACACGCATCTTCACCAGCCCCTGGCGGCTGTCCTCATCCCAGCACAGATGGAAGAGGGTTTGCACATGGGCCGAGCCCCAGACCCACGAGCAACGCATACACTGGAACCTGCAAGGAGAAGAGGGAGCAGGTGAGCAGGCAGGGGGACAGTGGGGAGGCGAGGGCAGGTGAGCGGGCAGGTGGCCGGCAGCATGGCTCCCCCATCCCCTCAGGCCCAACTCTGTACCTAGTCCACATCAGCCAGACTGGCCCCTCACATTGGCCCCCACATCCCTCTGCCCATGCACCTACACATAGGTTCTAAGGCCCCTCCAAGCCTCTCATCTGAAAACATGAACCTCTGGTGCACGGCTCTGTCCACAGTGCATGATCTGGAAAGCTGAAATACAGTCTGCAGCAAAAGCCCACTTGGTGGCGCCACCGGGCCTGCCACACCGTGAGTGTGGACAGGGCCTCAGCTCCTCTACTGGCTGCTGCGATTGTCTCGCTTTGTTACTCTGGGTCCTGGTTGTCCTTGACTACTAGCCTAAGAAGAACTCTGGTGGTGTGGTGGCTAAGACATGTGGCCGCTAAGCTCAAGGTCAGCGGTTTGACCTTCATCTCTCATACTTTGGTCATGCTGTCAGGAGGGACCAGTCCTTGGAGAAAGACACCATGGTTGGTAAAGTAGAGAGTCAGTGAAAAGGGGGGAGACCCTCGGTGAGACGGACTGACACAGTCGCTGTGACGATGGGCTGGAGCACAGCAGGACCGGGAGATGGGGCAGAACCGGGCAGTGTCTCCTGCTGGACGCAGGCTCACTGGGGTCCAAACCCACTGGAGGGCACCTACCAACAGCTAACCTAAAGGCTGATGGTTCAAACCCACCTGGTGGTGCTACAGAACAAGGGCTGACCCTCTATTCTGGAGAAGGCCAAGAGAGCCCTGCCGAGCAGTCCCTGGTCCAGCTGTGGGACCTTTGAATCATTCCAGGCACGTCTCAGACCCCCGAGGGTCTTCCTGACCTGGCACCTGAGTACACACAACTGCACCCGTACCTGCCCCAGGGCTTTCAGGCGTGGGCCCAAGGGCTGTGGTGTCTTTGTCGAGAGAGCGCCCTCTCTCACCCCCTGCATTGCGTGGTTATTTTGAGTGGGGTCCCCTTGGAACGACCCACCAGCCAGCACACTGGAGGGCTCCTACCCACCAGCTCTGGGCAGTGTCTGCTCAGGGAAGCCCCGGCCCTGCTGCAGGCCAGTCCACCGCACTGACCCACCCCCACCCGCAGCCCAGCTGCGGACAGTGCCCGCTCCTCTCTGCTGAGTGCCCCCCCCCGTGCCTGGCTGCCATGGAGATGCCATGGAGACACCATGGCAACAAGAGGCAGCGCTGAAGGCCAGCCTGACCAGAGGAGACACTGAGTGAAACAAAGCCCTCCACGAGTGGGCACCTTCATGTCACCATCTGGGGGCCAGCTGACAGGCCCCTCCCAGCCCCAGGCCCACCACTGTTCCAGCAAGTTGTAAGCACCGTAGTCAGGGGTCCTAGCAGGTGTTACTCCCCAAACACCCCCACAGTATGGAAGGGAGGACTCCCTGGCCCTACCCCTCTTGGAGGACAGGACCAGGCAGGCCATGGGCCACCTGTTGGGGGCCACACTCACCTGCTCCGGGCTACCTGCAGCCTGGCCCGCTGGCTCAGGCTGCCATCAGGATGGCAGACAAGCAACCCCTTCCCATTCCTGGTCCCAGGTACTCCCCGAGGACCCCACAGGAGCGCAGGCCTGGCTCACCTTGCACGCCCCTTCAGGCGGTACTGGAAACAGCCGTGGTCCAGGCGGCCAGCCACCAGGCTGTCCTCAGGGAGCAGCACCCAAGTGTCCTGAGGCTTCCTCTCAGCCATCAGCTGGTGGAAGGTGGTGGCCCACACGTCAGCCCCAGGCCGGTCCATGCTGATGCAGGCTTCGCAGTGCAGTCTGATGGCAGTCCTCACTCGGGGGGGCTTCAAGAAGCCTCTCACATCCCGAGCACCCAAGCATCACTGCGTCCCACCAATGGGCTGCCTGGACCCCAGCAGCATCTCCATGGCAACCAGGTTTGTCTCCAGGGGAAACGAGGCCCAGTCCCTGCTCCTTTTAATTTCAAATATTTTTAATGACGCAAGCAATGGATTTTCATTATTGGGAAAGCCAGAAGCAAACAGGTAAATAAAGAACAAAAGAACACAAAGGATAAAATCACTCCTCGGGCCCCAACCAGAGATCATGGGTCACCCAACGCACTGTGGTGTGGATGTCCAAGGGTCTCTCCGAGCATGTATACAGATAAATGTTCACGTGCGTTTTTCATGACAGGGAATTGTACTAAACACACTCTCCAATAACCAGCTCTTTTCCCTCAACAACGCATCAAGAATAGTGTTCGTGACAACTGGCATTACCCCTGGGCAACTGGTGTTTTACCTGCTGTGGTTGCTGTGTTTTTGCTGCGTTCTGGTCAGCAGCCATCCAGTTAGCACTGGCTCGTAACACCCCCCACACAACAGAAGGAGACGCTGCCCAGTCCTGCCCCCTCCTCACGGTCACTGGCCTGCTCCGGTCCACGGCCACAGGCACCGTGTTTTCTGAGTGCCTTCCACCAAGGAGGCTCAGGTCCCAGCACTACACTAATTAACAGGCCATTGGGACCTGTGGGTTCTCCCTGGCTGACTTCTGGCAGTAGATCACCAAACTTTCTTCTCCGTCTGTCTGGGACCGGAGGCTGTGCTGGAACTCACCCACCGTGAGTGGCCTGCTGGCATTTGAGATACCGGGGGGACAGCCTTCTGCACGCAGCAGCATGCAAGCCACCATAGCACCACAAACAGATGGTGGGTCACTTCCTTCCCCCGCTTCTTGCTGAACGGGGCCCCTGGGTGGTGCAGGGGGATTGCACTCAACTGCTAATCTAAAGGTCGGTGGTTCAAACCCACCCAGCCACAGACAAGAACTGGCTGTCTGCTTCCACAGAGAAGTCCCCAAAAAAACCCACAGAGCAGTCCTTCTTCCTGACACACGGGGGCGCCGTGAGGCAGCAGGAACACGACAGCAAAGGGTTCGGTTTAAGAGTAAGGTGTTCATTCTTTCCTGTTGCCAAAACCAAGCTTGAAGTACTGTGTCGCACACACATTGTCACCACAACCCAAACCAAACTCACCACCGTCTAGTCGACTCCAACTCACAGCCGTCCCACTGGGTTTCCAAGGCGGTAAATGTTCACAGAAGCAGATTGCCCATCTTCCTTCCACGGAGCTGGTGGTGAGCTTAAACCACCAACCTTCTTGTTAGCCGTCAGATGCCCCAGGCATTGCACCACCAGAGCCCTTCTTCTACTGTGTAGAAACATAAGATATGTCCATACAAATGTCGAGATCCTAACGTGCACCTAGCAAATTATTAGCTACTGCCTACCTCGGCAAACTCTTCCCAATGTCCGCCCACCCCTGACCCTGACGTTCCCCCACCCCTGATGCCAATGTCTCCCACCCCTGACCCCGACGTCCCCCCACTCCTGATGCCAATGTCACCCACCCCTGACCCCGACAGGGCTGCCCCACTCCTGATGCCAATGTCACCCACCCCTGACCCCGACAGGGCTGCC